ATGGATGGGTGGATGGATGGATGATGGGTGGATGGATGGATGGATGGTGGGTGGATGGATGGATGGATGGATGGATGATGGTGGATGGGTGGATGGATGGATGGATGATGGGTGGGTGGATGGATGGATGGATGATGGGTGGATGGATGGATGATGGGTGGGTAGGTGGATGGATGGATGGATGGATGATGGATGGATGGATGGATGGATGGATGATGGATGGGTGGATGGATGATGGGTGGATGGATGGATGATGGGTGGGTGGATGGATGGATGATGGGTGGATAGGTGAATGGATGGATGGATGGGTGGATAGGTGGATGGGTGGCTGATGGATGGGTGGATGAACGGTTGGCCTGGCTGCCACAGTGTACCCACGCCATGGGCCTGGGGCTCATGTGAGGGGCCATCTGAGAGGAGATGAGCAGCCATGAGCCCCAGTGGCTGTGGGTCTGGTGTGAGGATGGGAAGTGAGCCTGTGGTCACTTCCTGGATGGATCCCGAGGGGGCGGGGTGCTGGCCACTTGCTGCTTCTGCCTGGGCGCCCCCCCCCCGACTCCAGCCCTGACGGGGGCTGCCGCGTCCCACAGGGAGATGCCCCGTCACGCCCGCGCTGGGCCAGCCCCAGGCATCAGTCATACCCCATTCCTTGGCCCCCAACAGCCTCCGTGTCCTGGAGCCCAGCCCGGCCCTGGGTGGGGCGGCCCTCATGCCCTGATGGGCCTGGGCAGACATGGCTGGGTTGGCCTGGCTGGGCTGGGAGACATGACGGGGTCTGTGGCCGGTGAGGACAGAAGCCACATGTTGGTAGAGGGGGCAGGGACGGGCAGTACTCGCCCGGTGTCAGCCAGTCTCCACCTGCGAGTCCCCCGTGAGCGCCCGGCCTGGGTCCCACCGCTTCCCATGCCCGCGGGGACCGAGCGCCGTGCCTGCGGTGGCGGGGTTGGGCTGTGAGTCTGAAAGTGGCTCCAGCCTCTACTGGCTGTGCCCCCTCAGGAAACTGGCTTCCCCTCTCTGGGCCTCGGTTCCCTCCCTGTAAGGTGGGCTGATGGCTGTGCCCGCCTCGCACGGCTGCGTGAGGGCCCGGGCCGGCCCCAGGGGCACGCGGCGAGCGGGAGCGAGAGACGAGGAGCCGGCAGAGGAATTCAGTCACGTCGACTCACAGAACGAATGTCCCAGCGGCTCCTGGTCGCAGCGTGACGGTCCAAGAACCTCAGGATCCCCCCACACGCCCACTTGACAGATGGGGAGACTGAGGCCCCGGGGGCAGAGACTCCACTGAGGTCGGCCAGGGCCCCACCTTACAGGCATTCTCTGGACACCCGTCTCCCTGCCAGGCCGCGTGAGGCGGGTGGGGACCCGCGTGGACCGGGAGGAGGGGGCCGGGCGGGGCCGGGCTCAGGCGGGGGGCCAGGCCCTGTCCAGAGCCTGCGGGTGCTCCTTGGCCAGCAGCCGCAGCGAGGCCTCCTCCAGCGCGAAGCCGTCCGAGAAGGCTGGCCCGAAGGCGTGCGGCCCAAAGGCCGCCTGCAGCCCAGGGCCCGGGCCCAGGAGGCGCGGGAGGCCGGGCACGGCCGGGGGCCCGGGGCCCAGCCAGGGCTCCAGGGGCAGGGGCACGGCCGGAGGGCGGGCAAACGGCAGGGCTGGGGCCTCGGGGAGCCGCGGGGCTGCCACGGCCCCCGAGCCTGACTCCAAACGCTCCTGGCGGCGCCACTTGGCCCGGCGGTTCTGAAACCACACCTGGAGCGAAGAGAGGGTGCCCCCGGCTCAGGGCCAGTGGGGAGCGGCCAGCGCGCTCTTCCCCACTCACTGTCCCTCCCCACCTCGCGGGGTTCTGCCCGCTGTCTAACCCAACTCCTGCTTGCTGCAGCGCCAACGTATTTTGTTTCCTGCCTCAAGGAGAGATGGACCCCTGCCCCCTGGCCTCCATCAAATCACCCCAAGTCTTTTCTGAATCCGGTCCCTCCCTGTCCTTCTCTGTGCCCAGGCCCCCTCAGGTTCCCTGGTCTCTCCCGACCCCGGGCATGAAGTCCAAGCCACTCAGATCAGCATCCGAGACCCTTCATGAGCTCTTTCTCAGCTCCGTTTTCTGCCCCCCTTTCCACCCGCCTCCCACCCAGCTCAAGGGAAACACCTCCAGTTTAACCCCACACACCTTTGCACAGGCTGTTCTGGATGCTAGAAAATGCACTCTCTACTTTCCAGCTGGCAAACTCCTACTCCAACGTCAATGCCCCAGTCAGCATGCCCTTCTCCGGGAGGCCTTCCCGGTCTCTCCCTGCCCTGTCCCGCTCGGGCCCCTCCCAGGTGGCTGAGGGGCACCCTCACCTGCACGCGCACCTCGGGGAGGCGCACCTTGGCGGCCAGCTCCTCGCGGCTGTAAACGTCTGGGTAGTGGGAGGCCTCGAAGGCCCGCTCCAGCTGGTGCAGCTGGTAAGTGGTGAAGGTGGTGCGGTTCCTCCGGTGCTTCTTCTTGGGGGCCTCCTCGCCCGGCCCCGGCCCCCCGCCCTCAGCCGCCGGCCCCTCTCCCGGGCTTAGGAACATGGCTCCTCCTCGCCCCCACCTGGTGGGACGGCAGCAGGAGAGACGGCAGTGAGACAGCAGGAGGGACGGCCGGCTGGGGGGGTCAGGGGAACCCCCGACACCTGCAGCGTCTGGGGTAAGACGTGGAGGGGCTTGTCCCTCCCCCGGGGCCTGCGTCCATTCTGCCTCCCCAGCCTCTGTCCACCTCGGATTCTCTCCCTGCCTCTATCCCCACTCCCCGCTCTTCTCTGAGTCTTCTGTGTCTGTCTCCCTACATCTCTGTCTGTCCGTCTGTCTCTGTGTCCAGGACCCCAGGAAGGCAGGAGGCTGGGACGCTGCCCCCACAGAACTTCCCTACCCCGCGTCCTCCGCCTGGGGGGCTCTCTGCACCCCCACCTCCCACCCACACCCGCCCACCCGGCGCTTACCACCCCCAGCAGCCCCTCCTCAGCCCCGGTGTCCGGTACCCACGGGGCTCCGGCCCCAGCGGGCCCAGCGCGGCGTCTGCTGCCGGCCGGCCCTGCCAGCCTGGAGGGTCCGGGTCAGCGGGGGGATTAGCCCGAGGTGATTAATTGACGCGGCCCCTCCCGCCCGGCCCTGGCTGCTCTGAGCCGCAGAGGGAGGGCAGGGCAGGCGGAGGGCTGGGCCTCTGGGTGGGGGGACACGGTCAGCCTGGGTCTGCCATCCTCGCCGTAGGACCCCAGCTAGGCCCCCCTCGGGCCTCAGTGTCCCCAGCTGTGACACAGTGACACCAGAACTTACCCCGTGGGGCTCTCACGAGGATTCAGGGAGCTCCTGAAAGGAAAGGGCATCGCACAGGGAATGGTATACAGTGAGTGCTTAATGATTGCCCACTATGACTGTGTTTATGAGCCGGGGCCAGAAGCCCCTCTTAGATTCTCAGGTGTCAACAGGGTACGGAAGCTGAGGTCCCAGGAGGTGAAGGCAGTTCCAGTCGGCTCCCCCGGGCACTGAGCAGGGCAGGGCGCAGGGGGCATTTTAGCTGGGTTTTGAGGTGTGAATAGAAGTTCATTCTTCATTCACTCAATATTTATTGAGCACTTACTGTACACCAAGTACTGTTCACAGCAGTGAAGAAAACACAAAAATCTCAGAGCTGACGCCTTAGTTGGGGAGACAGACAAACAGCAACTGGATAAGGGAAATGTGGTGTCAGGGGATCAGGAGCCTAGCGAGGAAACTCAGGCAGGGGAGGGAAGAGGCACGCGGGTGGGTTGCTCTCTTAAGGAAAGTGGTCAGAATGGGGGATCCACTGGGAGCCATGGGAGGTTGTGGAGCAGGGGAGGGAAACAGACCGATGGTATTTTGGACGAGTATCTACTGTGGGCAAGATGGGAGGCCAGGAGACGCCAGGTCAGGGCCGTGGGGATGGCAGGGCGGGGGGGGAGAGGGGGGCCCGAAAGCAATTCTATGGAAGAAAGTTTGGAGAGGAGGAAGGGGCAATACCCAGGCCCGTCTTGGGGATGGGTGGATCATGGGATTGTCACAGGGGCGGTGGCCCGAGAGTCAGAGCAGGCTCCAGGGGAAGCCCCCGAGACTGGCTTGCCAACCCCCCAATCCAAGGAGCCTTGGGGCTCAGGAAGGGGCGCCCTGAAACCTGAGAGGAGGGGGCTGGGGTGACGGGGGCGAGGCGAGGCCGGGAAACGGCTGCTGGGCGGGAGGGAGGTCGTCCCGGCAGTGAGGCGGGAGACCCAGGCCCACGGATGGACCCGAGAGCGAGTGAGAGAGGAAGTAGATAGATCCTTCCGGAATGTTGGCTTTGAAGGAAGAGACTCACAGAAAAAGAGACAGAGACAGAGAAAGGCTCACACGTGGAGGGAAAAGGGGCGACCAGGCCCCGGAGAAGGCGCCGGCTGTGGCTCCCACGGGCCCAGGAGGGAGGGCGGGGGCCGGGCGGGCAGGGGGCTTAGCACCGACGGCTGAGCGCCTGAGCCGGGAGGAGGCCCCAGACACCCAGAGCCCAGGCGGGAGGGGCTCCCGGGGGCCCGGGCCGCCCCCTCTGTAAGGTGGCTAGGGAGGATAATGCCCCTAACGGCCCCATCACTTTAACCCACTAACGCGCTGCTGTTCTCAGCCCCCAATTAGCTGACTGGCCGGGGCGGGGGCGGGGGGGGGCTGGAGGGGGGAGGTTAGGAGGAGCGGGAAGGAGGGGTTCGGCGCGGGGCTTTGGGACTTAGCGGGACGATGAGGCTGAAGATGCAGACACTGTGTCAGCTTAAAGGGCCGGATTAGGGGCGGGGCTGGGCCACAGGCAGCCCCTCAGCTGGATTAGTGAGGCCAGGCCACTCCCGGCCCCCGCCTCCCACCCTTCATGTCCCCCCAGGAAGAACCACTAAACCCCTCCAGGTGCTGGTGGGGAAACTGAGGCCAGAGGGTGGGCGGGGCCTCGGGGGGCACCACACAGCAGCATCACCTTGGGGTGTTTCTCCAGCTCGGGGCAGGGGTGGGTGAGCCAGGGGAGGGCGTGCCGTGGCCTGTGTCCCCTCCCCAGCTCGGGGGGTCCTGGGGTGGGGACCCCGCCCACCCTGGCCCGAGGCATCCTGGATCCTGCCACTCCAGGCATCCTACACGCTGGTTGGGAACATGAACTGAGGGGGGTGGCTGATAGCCCACTGGTGTGACCCCTTGGGGTCCTCACCCCCCTCCCCAGGAAAAAACACCTGATCACAGAGGAGGCTGCTGTAGGGGAACCAACCCCCCGGTCTGCCCGGGACTATCCTGGGTTTAGCACTAACGTCCCCCATCCTGGAAACACCCTCAGTCCGGGATGGTTGGTCACCGCAGGCCACACAGCTAGGGGGGCGAGTCAGGATCCAAAGCTGGGGGTGCAAGCCCGGAGCCCCAGCCCCCCGAGTGAGAGCGCACAAGAGGGGCAGGGCCTTGGGCCAGGCGCTCGGCTGGCATTTCTCAGCGAGCCTCCCAGGAGTCCCAGGGCCTGGCTGCTGGGCTGTGACAGCTGGAGGACGTGCGGGTGGCCGCACGGGGCATCCCCAGGCAGTGCTGATGCTGCAGCGGCAGACCCTCGGGGACACGGACCCCCGCGGCCGCTGGCACTCTCCCACAGTCCCCAGGGTCGGGGCAGCGTCCTCACCGCTGAATTCGGCACCCACAGGGGGACTGAGGTGGGGGACCCGGGGGTGATGGCGAGAGGGTCCACGGTGGCTGTGCTCTCTGGCCCAGAGGGTCTCGTGGCTCCGTCCCCGGGGAGCTGTGTCCCCACGGTGGCTGCAAGGTCCCCGCTGGGTGGACCCCTCGGTGGGCAGATGACCCAGCAGGCGGGTCGCCCAGGGCTGAGTGATGGGGGGGCCCGGTGTAGAAGACGCCAGGGGGCACAGACAGACTCAGACACCCACAGTCCTCGGAACCAGTCTTTATCGAGGTGCTGATCCTTCGCCTCCCGGCTCTGGGGTCCACGGGCTGCCCGGAGCCCCCACGCTGGTCGGCCTCTGCGCCGTGAGCCGGGGGGCAGCTCGCCAGCCGTGACCCTCCTCGGTCCTGGCCTGCACCCAGCCGTGCCCCCCACTCTCTGGGTCGTCTGGGGCTGGGCAGAGTCAGGGCTCCTGGTCTCGGGGTGAGGTGGAACCGTCCGCGTCCTGTCCCCCCGTGGGGGCCGAGGCGCCCGCAGTGCGCAGCTCCCGGGCCAGCTTCTCGGCGAGTTTGCGGAAGGGTGGCCGGCGGGCGGGCTCGGCCTCCCAGCAGCTGCCCATGAGGGCGTGGATGGGGCCCGGGCAGCCCTCGGGGGGCTCCATGCGGTACCCCTTCTCCACGGCCTCCGACACCTCCTTCAGCGACTGCGGGCAGAGGGCGTGCGGTGTGGGCCGGGGTCAGGGCCACGGCCCCCACCCGCACAGGACCCAGTGCCCCGACCCCGCTCACCATCTTGGGGTACGGGGCCCGGCCATACGAGAAGACCTCCCACAGCAGCACCCCGAAACTCCACACGTCCGACTTGCTGGAGAACTTCTGTGGGCCCAGACCAGGGTGAGGAGGGACCCCCCACCCCGGGCTTCTGTTCCAGCTCCTGCTTCCTCCAGGAAGTCCCCTGGGGTTGACCTTCCCTCCCCGAGTCCCCTCTAACCGAGAGGGGCTAAGACTCAGCGCAGGGAGCAGGCCCGGTTATTCCTATCCTCAGCGCCGGGCCCAAGTCTGTTTCAGAAGTGGGGAAACTGAGGCCCAGACAGGGTCACACAAGGGAGAGGCCAGACCAGGCTAAAAGGAACAAGTGTGGGTCAATGCTTACCAGGGAGGCAGAGCCACTTCCCCTGGAGGTTCAGAAGGCCAAGAGAGGTGCCCAGGGTCACACAGTGGAGCTGGGGCTCCAAGGGCCCAGAGGCCGAGGGGGCTCACCCCGTGTTTGAGAGCCTCAGGCGCTGTCCACTTGACCGGCAGCCGGCTGGAATCCAGCCCCTTCCGCTCGGCCTTGGCCAGGCCGAAGTCGCTGACTTTGGCCACCAGGTCCTCGGAAACGAGGATGTTGCGGGCGGCGAGGTCTCGGTGCACCAGCTTCTTGCTCTCCAGGTATTCCATGCCCTCGGCCACGTGCCTGGGGAGGGGGCCGCGCAGGTGGGCTCCGGGGCCGGGCCGCCAGCTCCCAAGGCCAGGCTGCTCCCGGCTCTGCGCCTCGGTTTCCCCGTGACCCTGGAAGCCCCCCAGCCCCGGAGCCCCACTCACAGGGAGAACTGCAGGAGCTGAGGGGTGTTCACGAGGGCCCGGCCCCGCGTCCGTAGGAAGTTCACCAGGTTGCCCTGCGGGGGCACACGGGCCGGGGCTCGAGGCTGCTCGACCACGCCACCCGCCCTCCGCCCGGGCCCCGCCCACCGCCTCGCCCCGCCCCTTGCCCGCACCGAGGCCCCGCCCACCGCCCCCTTGCCCGCACCGAGGCCCCGCCCACCTTGCTCACGTGCTCCATGACGATGTAGAGACCCTGGTGCAGGATCACGCCCAGGAGCCGCACCAGGTTCTTGTGCTGCATCTTCCTGGGGGCGGCAGGGGTGGTGAGGGCGCGGCCGGACCCTCGACCCAGGACGCCTCCCCGACCCTGGGACTCACGTCATGACCGCCGTCTCGTCCAGGAAGGCCTGGGCCGTCACGTCACACTTGATGTTCTTCACGGCCACCTTCTGGCCCAGGTACTCGCCCTGCAGGACGGCTGGGGGCGGGCAGGGGTGGGGACGAGCTCAGGACCCCACAGACGCACGGACATACCCCTCACACCGACCCCCACGGACGCCAACGCAGCTGCCGGTCCCCAGGCCCGGAAACCCCCTCGCCCCTACAAGACGCCTGATCAAAGAGAATCATCTAAGCCAGGGGTCTGCAAACTGCGGCCCGTGGGCCACATCCTATCCTGTCACTGATTTTTGCAAGGCCCACAAGCTCAGAGTGGTTTTTACATTTTTAAATGGTTGAAAAATCAAAAGAATAATAATATTTCAAGACACGTGAAAATTACACGAAATTCACATTTCAGTGTCAATAAAGTTTTATTGGCACACGGCCCTGCCCATTAGTTTACCTGCCATCTGTGGCTGCAAGCACATGGGACAGACTGTCTACCATGCGCTCCGGTCCTTTACAGAAAAAGCCGGCCATCCCCTGCTCTAAGGCCTGGAAGCTTCCAGAATAATGATTCCAGGGAATGGCATTTCAAGCAGAGGGCCCAGCACGTGCAAGAGCCCTGAGGCATGAAGGAATCACTCGCATTTGCTGGGTGCCCGCCAGAGTAGTTCACTCCTCACTACAGCTGAGTTAACCCCCTTCCATAGAGGGGAAAACGGAGGCTCAGAGACAGGCATCGTGTGTCCTCCGCTGCACAGCAAGTGGGTCTTAAATACGGATGTGAATTCATCTCTGTGACCCCAAAACCCGAACATGCCCCCCACCTTCCTTCAGGCCCCGCTCACCTCCAAACTCGCCCTCGCCGATCTGCGCTCCCAGCGTCAGATGCTGCAGGTTCAGCAACCAGCCGGCTGTGGGGCGAAGACGCGGTCAGAGGGCAACAGGCCCCCAGCCCCCAGGCGGGGGCTCCACCTGGTGAGAGACCAGGCGGTGTCTCCACAGTGCCCCGGCCGTGGGCACACATCTGGTGGCCACGGCTCCCAGCAGTGGCCCGAGGGCATGTGCGAGGCACCCCACTCCCGGTGCCAGGCGTCATGGGGTCGAAGGCAACAGAGCCCACCACCGCTCAGGGTGGCCCTTCTCTCCTCGACCTGGAGACTGTGTCCCTCCAAATACCCCGCCGGCTCCTCCCTTGACAGTCCTTTACCTCTGGCCACCCAGGGACACACACAGAGCATAAAAGACAACAGACGCAGAGACTGGTAAAGCTTCCAGAACCTTCCGGAATCTTCCAGCGCTCTAAGAAGTCATCTGTGCTGTGGCCTCCCTGATTTTTAGTATCAAGCACGCCTTGTTCTCCCCTCCTCTAGCAGGTTCTGTGGGCCGCCTCCTCTTCCTCCCCAAAAGCCCCCCTCCAAATCATGAGCCCTTAGGCACGATCAGGCACGGTGACACCAGCCTCCCCCCGGGGGGGCCATCCCCAGGATGTCCAGATCTCCCCAGGAGAGACACATGCTTCCAAGGAGACAGCCACGATCACCAGGTTTGACAGGGGTGGCCATGGTAGGCCGCATTTGCTTCGGGCCTCGGGTATTGAGGGTTTCACTGCTCGGGGAATGGACAAGCATTTCAGGTGAAGGGAACAGAATGCACAATGGCACAGAGGCAGGAGAGGAAATGAGGAGTCACAGCCCAGGGGGGCATGGAGGAAGGGCCCTGCAGATGAGGCAGGAAAGACGCCTCAGCCACAACAAAAGGTTCTGGCAGGCGGTGGAGCTGCCGGGCCCCCCTCCTTCAAGTGGGGGAGCGACGTGGGTGGAATTTCTCTGTGGGCAGAGGCGGAGAGGAAGCAGGACGCCCCCCCCAGGAAAAAGGTGGTTTGATGGGCGGGCTTGAGGCTCGGGGTGGGGGGTGGGGGGCGACATTTCACAGGTGTTAGAACCCGGCCATGGAGGGGATGTGGGAGGGCGGGGAGGCAAGGCTCAGAGGCAGGTTTCTGGCTCAGGTGACGTGGCCGCGGCCATGCGCCGGGGGCCGCGCGGGCGGGGAAGGGCACGCCTTACCCTTGGCCAGCTCCTCCTCCGCCGACCTGGTGCCCTGTTTCCTCCTGGGTTTCACGAGCCGCGTGCAGATGGCCCCCTTGTCTTTGCTGTAATGCTGCAGGGTGGGGCGGGGCAGAGGCGCGTGAGCCCGACCCCGGGCTGCGGGGAACCCCTGCAGCCCGTCCCCTTCCCAGGGGGTCTCTGGGTGGGGTGGGCCGGAGCTGGGGAGGCGGGAGGAAAGGGGTTTGGTTCTCGCAGGATGAGTTGGGCTCGTTTCCATGGAAACGGAGAGGATGCAGGAGAGGAGGAAAACAGGAGGATCCTGCGGAGGTGCGGGGGTCTCTGGATTCGTGTCAACTTGGAGGTTCCTAGGGGTCCCCAGAGGGCCACCCCAGTCCCTGGAGGTGGAACCCCGAGGACTCAGACCACCTCTAGGGTTGGTGGTCCATGGAGGCTAGCCCCTCCTACTCCACAGTGAGGAGCATGCGCCCTGGGGGTCCCAGGTGCACCCAGCTGCCGGGATGGGGCGGGGTCTGGGGTCCCTCCATCTCGCTTTGGGAAGCACGTGACTCTGGGGGTCCCGGGTGCACCCAGCTGCCGGGATGGGGCGGGGCCTGGGGTCCCTCCATCTCGGCTTTGGGAAGCACGTGACTCTGGGGGTCCCGGGTCCACCCAGCTGCCGGGATGGAGCGGGGCCTGGGGTCTCTCCATCTCGGCTTTGGGGAGCACGCGGCTATGGGGGTCCAGGGCCCACACAATTGCCGGGATGGGGATGGGGCCTGGGGGTCCCTCCATCTCCGCATTAGGGAGCATGCGCTCTGGGGGTCCCGGGTCCACCCAATTGCCGGGATGGGGCGGGGCCTGGGGTCCCTCCAGCTCCGCATTAGGGA